AAAAAAAAAAAAAAAAAAAAAAAAAAAAAAAAAAAAACAAATGCCCCTCCCCCTATAAGGGTCTTCTTTGTTTATGAGAGGAATTAACTTAATATTACCTTAACAACAGCCAACGATTAGAGTAGAATAGATGGCACAAAGACAATTCTCCAATGGTGATATAGATGCAAAGAACCTCCGGTACATACATAACAAAGATGAACATGAGGGTAAAAGATTGTTCGATCTCAACATAAAATCGCCTGAAGTAAAAATTAGATTATGTATAATGGTCAATCGCCCACTTTCAACAAAATGAACAACGTACATAGCCTTCTTCAATGTTGAGGATGTCAATAACGGAACTAAAGAAACTTGATGATCAATATTCCAACGGCTCTCTGGGCTTGAACTAAGGATATAACAAACTATATTCATGGTTTCATCACCTTCGGGCAGATGGCACAGCACCCCGACCAGTTGCACCTCCACGGCCAGCAGCTTGAGCCTGAAAAAGAGAGTATGTCTAGTGTTAACTTTTGGAAACTTAAAAAGTGTAATAACATTTTGTAACGCACTCTAGTTGTTTTCCCTCTAAATCTATCCCCAACCTGTTTTTAAACATATAAACTAACAAGAGATTTCACAAGTAATAATCACTTCACCTAACACTATCTGTGGGTTCCTGCGTTTTGTGTGAATGTGCCTAAATTCTGGATGCCTCAAAGAGAGAATTGTGAAGTTCGTAGTGCCATGAAACATTCCCTAACATCTTCCAAATTGATATGATTAAATAGCGATCATATCCTAGTAATTTCAACTTAAGTAGATTCTATATTTCTTGGCAGATATGCACACAAGCAGCGATCAAATCCTTCTCTCATACATGGAAAAATGCACAAGGGGCATGTAAGTTGATCTTCGTACTTATTCAAAATGTGTAGAGGAAATAAATTATCACCGTACTAAAATTAAGCTGCATGGGACTTACTTTAGCTCGCATAGCAACAGCCCTGCCTCTGCCAACACCAAGTGAGGCGCCCTTACCCTTCAGGATTGAAAAAGCATGAGTTAGGAAAAAGAAAAAGCACGCAAGGATTTCATCAGGACTAGATTTCAAAGGATTTAAGTTGAAATACTTTAATTCTAGCATCGAGACGCTTGAACATTGGAGCATTCTTCAGCATGTCTGGTATGACCATAAACCTATCATGCATAAACAGATGTCAGCATGCCAACCAAATCCTGACAAAATCCCTTCGAATAACTAAGAAAGTCATTGGATAGTCTATAATACAGGAGATGGTACAGATACCTGACTTTGCTGCCTCGGATGAAAACATGCTCAAGTTGCGAGACCTTTCCATCCTATAGAAGAAAACACATAAAGTGAGACCTGAAGAACGTGACTCCCAACTATATACATGCAAGCAAAGGGGAAAAACTCGGAGACATTGAACAATAACCATAACATAAGTAGAACACCAACAGATTAAACAAAGAAAATCAGTAAACCTTAATCCATTTGACAATTTTATAGAAATCGTTTACTATCCAATTAACCAATATGAATCTATGATAATGTCGATCTCTCCTATTCAATTTGGTGATTACGAGTTGCATAGCAAGAAAGTTGCAATTAAACAGCGCACTCAGCAGATGAATCGACGTGCACAATTAACATTCGTCTCTAGTTAATTTAATCAATCCTGATCATGCAATCAAGATCGCAATTAGCACTCTTTTCATGTGTTGATGCTTTGCCAATTTTCAGTCTCATTTTACAGTTGTTGCCTTTTGGGTTTGGGACATACCAGTCAGGTCTGGAGTCTAGATGCAATTTTTGTTCCTTATATGTTGAAATTTACCATATAGAGAGTTTTTTGTTCCCGGAAGTTTTCTGGTTCTTCCTAAGCAGATTTTGTATTAAAATTAGTCATAAAAAAAATAAAAATAAAAAGATCGTGGCAGTTGAAGCTATAAATTGTTGGAAACTAAACCAAATTAGGGTTTATAGAAAGTTCAAAAAGCACTTGAACCAGATATTGAAGTACACGGCTTTAGAGATAAAGAAGCAGAACGAACTAAATGAACTAAGGCGAAAACCACAAACATAAAGGTCCAACTATCAGACAAAAGTTGCATAATCTTAAGATGAACAACGAAAAGCAAAAAGAGAGAGGCACCTTAGCAGTGTAGGTGATGTTTTCGAGCTGGCAGTTCCAGTTATCCTCACACTCGATCATACTTCCTCTGTAAAGTTCACCGCTTTTAAGCTCCACGGACACAACGTGACCCGCGGCCTCATGGAGTAGCTTCACTGGGATTCCCAAGCTCCTGCTCATGGCTACTCTCTGCAAATCTCAAATCACCCTCTAAAACCCTAACGCTCCTCCGGCCTCCTATAAGCCTTGAACTTGCAAGGCCAACTAAACGGAAAACGGCGTCGTTACTTTTAGTCGCTTCTCATTCTCTTGATCTAAACGACGTCGTTGTACGGTGTACTTTTCCCCTTTTCGTTTGAAATATTATATAAATAGACTTAAATGAGCCTTCGATTCAATTTTCGTTAATTCGCCTATTAATTTTAACAAAAACAGTCTAATATGAAAGTGAAAAATCAGGATTAAAATTTCAAAATTCTCCCTCTTTTTCATTTATAGGGAAAAAAACTGGACTGAAAGCCCACAACCTCTCCAAAAAAGAAAAGCCCACAGCCCGTTTCTCGCGAATGAGGCCCACTAGAACTACCACTCTTGCTCGTCGAATTTTGCCTCCTGAGCGCGCCAGAATCCAGAGGTCGCGAATCGCAGTTGCCGTCGATCAGTTTCCAGTTGATTTCGCGATTCTCGATTATATGAATTCCTGGTTGAACAGTAATCTTTAAGCGTTTACGTAATGGAATGATTAACTTATGAAGCTCATCTGTAATAAAATTGTGATTCATTTAATTAGGATTCAGTTGTTTCGGTGAGAAATAAAGTTTATGAGATCAACCTTGTTCTTTATTATTTGCAGATTCAATTCTCGAGTTTTTGGATCGATTTATTATCTTCTTTGTGCACTCTTTTTTGTTTATTTTTACAATACTGGAAGTTGAAATGGCAATAGATTACATAAGCATCCTTTTCTCGCAGCACAATGTTTTCTTGCCGATGTCGGGGATAATAATTGTTGTTGATGATGGAAGTCCTGATGGTACTCAAGAAGCTGTGAAACAGTTGCAACGAGTGTATGGAGAAGATCGGATCGTAAGTTCACCGAGGACGTTTCTGCATTTGTTGCAGCGCAGATATAATCATCATCTTGTTCTGTTTACTCGTTTAGTTTTTTGATTTCCCGTGCAGCTATTGAGAGTCAGACCTGGGAATGTTGTACGACTTCTTCTTTTGAAAATATCACAGATCTGATGAATGATTCATTTCAGGAACGGGTTACTGTCACGGTCTGAAGCATGCAACTGGTAATTTTGGTGTTATAATGGATGCGAACTTATCTCACCGTGCAAGGTTGTTTTTAGTCTGAAAACAAGATTCTATTATTGGATTTGGGATTTAGTTCCAATCTGCTGCAATGTGATTACCATTTCAGTATGTAAAGGTCTCTCATACCTTCCGGTCACCAGATGATGCACAAATGTAGTGAATTTATTGAGTTGCCAGGTAACTTCTTGTTTTATTTCAACCCTCTGTGAATTTATTGTTAACTTCTTGAACTTTTGAAAAAATAAAAATGATGTTTTAAAATAAAAACAAAACGCAATCACAAAATTGAGACTGAGAGTAATTTAATTTTTATTTTAAGTAATTGTATTTGATCTTGGGTGAGCTAAATATGTTGTTATTATGTTTCACAGAAAAATCCAAATGATTGGCATCAATGAAGAGGAAGCCGAAACCGACGACTCGGAATGGACAGATCTAGACGCTAGTCCCATTCACACCCCATTCCTTTAGTCATCTTCCGCCTCTCCTTTCTCCCTTTAATCTCATTATCTTCACGTGGCGAATACGCTGCGTTTCTCTTGCAGTTGCACAGCAGGAGAATCGCATGCTCATTGATTCTTCTCTGCAAAATCCATGGACGGAATGGACCGCTGCTCGGCCAATTACGTTCCTCTCACTCCAATCACCTTCTTGGAGCGCTCCGCCGCGGTCTACGGCGACCGGATTTCTCTCGCCTATGGACGTGTTCAATACACTTGGAGAGAGACGCTTTTGCGATGTACCAGGCTCGCTTCTGCTCTTGTTCGAATGGGAATCGCTCGCGGAGATGTGGTCTGTATTTACAACTCTCCTTCTTTCATTCTTAGTATCTGAATATGGCTTTTTATGCAGATCTAGAAATTATTTGGTCTGCGAGTTACATCGATGCCATTGTTTATGATGTTGTTCTTTACTTGCGATGATTTCAAGCTTACGGATCTGATTTTGTGTTGACGATAGTAGTTATTCTGATGGTTGAACTCCGGTTCCTTTCTTATTATGATCAATAGTGAATCTATAGTTTTGAGGTCTTTGAGGTATTTGGTTAGATTAATCTTTTTCTGCACATTTCTCGGCTAATTTTGCGGCGAATTACGATTCTCTCGAGCAGGTTGCTGCCTTGGCACCGAATATTCCAGCTATGTACGAGCTACATTTTGCTGTACCGATGGCTGGTGCAGTTCTTTGCTCCCTCAACGTACGCCATGATGCGGCAATGGTTTCTACACTGTTGAGCCATTCGGAAGCTAAAATCATTGTTGTAGATTACCAGTTTGAACATATTGTAATGGGAGCAATTAAAGCTATGTCCGAAAGGAGAGAAAAGATACCTCTTGTTGTCATTATTAATGAATATGATCAGCCACCTTCCTACATCGACAGAGAGGGCTCTGCTTCAGAATATCTAGAGTTTGAGAGCCTTTTAGAGTCTGGAAAACTCGATTTCAAGATCAGGCGGCCTAAATATGAATTGGATCCAATTGCTCTTAATTATACTTCTGGCACAACATCAAGGCCAAAAGGTGTTATTTACTCCCATAGAGGTGCATATCTCAATGCTCTTTCTGCAGTTCTTCTGAATGATATGTGCTCACTCCCTGTGTATCTGTGGGTTGTTCCAATGTTCCACTGCAATGGATGGAGCTTAACTTGGGGCGTGGCTGCACAGAGCGGCACAAACATCTGCCAGAGAAACGTGAGTGCTAAAGAAATTTTTGAAAATATCTCTCTGCATAAGGTTACTCATATGGGCGGTGCACCTACTGTCTTAAACATGATTATCAATGCACCAACAAGCGAACAGAAGCCCCTTCCACGGAAGGTAACCATGATGACTGGTGGCGCTCCGCCGCCTTCCCATGTTCTTTTTAAGATGAGAGCAATGGGATTCCTGATTGTCCATGCATATGGTTTGACCGAAACTTATGGGCCAGCAACAGTTTGCTCTTGGAAACCAGAATGGGATTCACTCCCTCAAGATAAACAGGCAAAGCTAACTTCTCGCCAAGGATTGCAGCATGTTGGGCTAGAGGAAGTGGACATAAAGGATCCTGTCACCATGGAGAGTGCTCCAGCCGATGGAAAAACCATTGGTGAAGTTATGGTCAGAGGCAACACTGTGATGAGTGGATACTTAAAAGATCTCAAAGCTACACGGGAAGCCTTCAATGGCGGATGGTTTCGAAGTGGGGACTTGGGGGTGAGGCACCCTGATGGTTACATAGAACTGAAGGACCGTTCTAAGGACATAATCATTTCTGGGGGAGAGAATATTAGCTCGATTGAGGTGGAGTCTGTTCTTTTCAGCCATCCATCAGTTCTTGAAGCTGCTGTTGTGGGAAGACCTGATGACCGCTGGGGTGAAACTCCATGTGCATTTGTGAAGCTCAAAGATGGGTGCAGTGCCAGTGAAGAAGATATTATAAAATTCTGCAGAGAACACCTGCCTCACTACATGGCTCCGCGAAGTGTGGTGTTCAAAGATTTGCCAAAAACTTCGACAGGGAAAACTCAGAAGTTTATTCTCAAGGAGGAGGCCAAGGCCATGGGTAGCCTTCCAAAACAGACCAGCAAACTGTAATAATCGAGGCTCGGTTGGTATCAGTTGACACCTTCACTCATTAAGTGGCATTTAATGTTGTTGTACTTTCGGCTTTTACAGCCTCAGGGAAATTAAGTCGTCGTAGTGGTGTGAATTGTATGGTACATATTTATTACTTCCTATGTAACCTTTGTTTACATTTTTCTTACAAAATGTTTAAATCTATTTTAATCTCACGTTTTAACACGTTCAAAATTCAGTTTAAAATATTTTGTAGACAACAGATTCCCATTCTCGCTTTTACTTATGATATATAAATAAATTTACAGATTAGTTTATGGATTTTCATTTTTTATTCAGGGATATATTAACACAAAATTAAAAAAAAAAATTAGATTTCCATTATACATGAAATTGAATTTCATATTTTATACTTATGATCTACATTGAAAGATAGTTTTAATAGCTTAAAAATTAAATAAATTAGACTAACTCTGCAATTTAACACGTAAATGGTGGATGGACAATAAACTGATGGCCTAATTTGCAATTATTTATTTTTATTTTACATTCAAATTACCAAAACAAGTCATCATCTGGATAGAATATTTAATCGTGATTATTTTTTTCAAACAATTTGTCGAAACTATCATTTCTTTCGATAGAAAAAAGAAAAAGAAAAAAAACCCTACTTTTGCACGAACTGTATACTCCAAGACTTGATTTACATTTCTTTCAAGACTTGATTTTTGCACGAACTCATGGCCCTGTCCGTATTGCCACTGCACTCGAAATCTGGTCTTTACTAAGCCTTTGTCGCCGTCTTTGCGGGGAAGACAATGCACAGGCAAGTACAATTCTTCCCGGGTAACGATAGCAGTTACAGATGCCTTAACCTCGTTTCCCCTCTGCATTTTTCTCAGGGCAAGGCTTCGTTTGGGATCCATAGCTGACTCTCTATACAGATTCAGGCCACACGAACATGTAAGTATCTTCAGTTCGGAAGTGTGGCTGGATTTTATAATTTTGAATTTGTTATCTTGGAAGAAGAAGAAAAGGAGTAGGAAGCTGACTTAAGGGGCTAGCTCGTTCAGCTAGTGCATAATTTTTATTGTTAGAATTTCTAAACACGGCCATTGCGAACAATGAACTTATAATTGGTTTAGCATTTGTGCAAATTAGTCATTCTTGTATACCTGTGGCCGCCCTAATGTAATAGGGCGAATTAGTTGTCTAGTAAGATTAGTCAAGATGCACTCGCCTGAAAACTAGCCATTTAGGAATTCCCAGTGAATCTTGTGAGTTTTCATTTATTCTCCTTACTGCGTCGACAGGGGCGAAAACAGGATGCAAATAAGATGGTATTCCGTCGAGCTCTTCTCATCTCCCAAGGTAATTTATGCCAAATAAGTTGTTTGAACTTGGAATACGTCCTGCTTTGCTAAATGAGTGCATCAATTTTGTTTCTTTAACGTAGTATGTTATATTGGTCTTCTTATGTTTGTCTACAACTCAAAACTTTGAAAATAGTTTGTTATATGCTATCTTTTCAGGCGGGACAGATTGTCAAATTTCACGTATGTCATGAATGCATAGATCAAAATTGCAAAACTTTTTAAAAATCACCATCTCTTGTGGAAAATGTTGACATATTAATGTTTCAGTGTAGGTATTGAATATTTGGGAAATGAAGCCGAGTCAACTAAGTTCATGCAGAGACAGATTGTCGATGCACTTCGAGTGGGCGATAGAAGTAGTGCTTCCAATCTGCTCATGGAACTTGGCCAGGAAAAACACTCTTTAACTGCAGATAATTTTGTTGGCATTTTGAGCTACTGTGCAAGATCACCTGATCCACTGGTAGTTCTTGCGTTCTTTGTTATCCTCTTGATGTTTAAAATAATAATGTCGAACTAGGAAACAACCTTTCTTCTAACTAATATTATATGTTTGTAACTTCGATCAGTTTCGATTTAGTCTTCACCTTTTATGGCTACAATTTTCACTCTCCTCAAGTAAGTAAAAATGGATTGGGGTTGAAGTTCAGAATAATAATGTTGTTTAGTGCATCTATCTAAGAATATAATGTGCTTCTGGCATGCCTATATTTCACTTGCATATCTTATGCTAGTATGGGAAAAAAAGAATGATGATGACCTTATAATTTTCTAGCGACTGATGAGTGTGCTGAAGCCTAAGGCTACATACATATTTATTTTTCTTGCAGTTTGTCATGGAAACTTGGAAAATAATGGAAGAAAGGGGAGTTTTTCTGGATAACACATGCACTTTACTTATGATAAAAGCACTCTGTAAGGGCGGTTACTTGGATGAGGTATAAACATGTTATACATAAACTGTGTATGCAATATTTTGCTCTCACATCAAGTTGCACTATTAACAACAGTTTTCTCCTCTTGTAATAACATAGGCATTTGGTCTAATAAGTTTCCTGGCAGAAAGTCGTGTCATGTTTCCTGTTCTGCCTGTGTACAATCTTTTCTTGAGAGCCTGTGGCAAAAGGCAAAGTACGGTTCATGTTAGTCAATGTTTGGATATGATGGATCGCAGAATGGTCGGGAAGAATGAAGCTACATATTCTGAGCTACTCAAGGTTTGCAAGGAACCTGATTCCTTTTCATTTGTATAAGCTATATTTCAAGATAGTTTATTTCTTAGAGTTCTTATGAACTCGTGATCATCATCAGGATACCTACAATTTCTCTTATGCATTTTACTTCTACACCAAAATTGGATCGATCATAGGCATCTTAGTATCAATCTTTTCAGTAAAAATAAATTAAAATTTGTTGTGGATTCGATTCTAAATTTCTAAATGTATACTCAACTGTCCATGCACTCTTGTTTAGTGTGATAAGAACATATTGATTCATAAAAAAGTATCTCTTCAGAATAAAAGGATCATGGGATTGATTCTCTGGTCATTGACCTCCTCTAAACATTGTCTCCTGTTTCAATCGCATTATGCCTTTTGGCAGGAAAGTTTCTGCTATAAGGGTATTGTTACATCATATATGTACCTGTAATCCTTGTATTGCTGTTTTGAGAATGTATTTTTGATGTAGTGAATCTGAATTCTCTAATTTATTTATAGTGAATGAATATTAAGCTTTCTTTTCTCAATCAGGTTGCAGTTGGTCAGAAAAACTTGTCTTCTGTGCATGAAATTTGGACAGACTTTGTAAAAAATTACAGTCCAAGTGTTTTATCTCTAAGAAAATTTATATGGTCTTATACAAGGCTGGGAGACCTAAAATCTGCATACACTGCACTGCAAAAGATGGTGACTTTGGTTATTGGAGCCGCAGGACAAAAGTTATCCTCTTTAGAATTGGACATTCCTGTACCCTTAAGAACTGAATTCTATCATGACAATTTTAATTTCGAGGAAAATGGACCTTCTACCGATGAGTTATACTGTAAGAAAGTTGTCCCCTGTGAAGGTGACATATGGCAATTTTCTGTTAATGGTATGAAATGTGGAGAAGTTGAAAGTGGTCGATTAACTTTGCCAAGCAATTACAGAAGCAATTTTGTTATGAAGGTTTTGAGGTGGTCTTTCAATGATGTGATATGTGCATGTGCGCGTACTAGGAACTGTGGTCTTGCAGAGCAGCTAATGCAACAGGTCTTATTTCTTTCTTCGAGATCATTTTTGTTTGATTATATAGCCAATGGGTACAATAGTTGCAACTAAATAAGATAATTTTTTCATAATTTTATCTCTTGTTACTGCCATAATAGTTGCAATCTTAAATTGTTCATACTTTCTTGGTCTTGCTCATTACTGCATTATTAGTGAAATGATATTTTGTATTTGGTTACTTGTACCTTATGTTCATATTTTTACACTTTATTTAGTTTAGCATTTCATGTGTACTGACAACACTAGGGTTCATTTCTTTGAAGATGCATGAACTGGGATTGCAACCTTCGTCCCACACATTTGATGGTTTTGTTAGGTCAGTTGTTTCAGAGAGAGGTTTCAGTGATGGCATTAAAATAGTAAGTTACTTAAGCTTTCGTTAGATCTTGATTATCATTACAAGATGTCTTCTACTTTTTAATGGAAAATGTATTGTCTTTATTTTAATTATGCGGCCAATGATGTATCGTTTCCCTCAACCCCAAAAAAAACCCTCCTTTTCAGTTAAAAATAATGCAACAGAGGAAATTGAAGCCATATGATTCAACTCTTGCTGCTGTTTCGATAAGTTGTAGCAAGGCGCTAGAACTTGATTTGGCTGAGGCTCTACTTGAACAAATTTCAGCTTGCGTGTACCCACACCCCTTCAATGCATTTCTTTCAGCATGTGACATGATGGTAAGTTCTATTTTTTTCTCTTGATAAGAAACTGAGTTTTTATTGAGAAAAAGGAAGGAATTTATAAGTGCATACAAAAAACAAGCCCACAAATGGAAGCCTCAACTACAAGAAAGGACTCCAATCCAGAAGATGGATTGGAATGACGCCAAGCTGATAATTACAGAAAAGAAAAGAAAAAAAAACGAAAGTCCATAAGCACGCATTAAATTACACCCTCCCACTCCCCCTTCAAAGTCCTGTCAACCCCCTAAAAGTTTTACCATTGCTCTCGAGCCACACTCCTCATAAGATAGCAAAACAACAAGCCTACCACAAAACTCTCCCTTTTATCCCAATTTAACAATTTTAAGGCGTAACTTCTTATTGTAGTTGCTTTTTATTTGCTATATGTTCTCAATTTTCTGAAGTTTGCAATTACACGATTTTTAACCTGCTGCAAACACAAAGCTGATGCTAGTATGCTACTATGCTACTCTGGATCCTTAAGTAGTTGGAAAGTAGCTTTAAGTGTCTGGTAGAATTATTGTGAAAGGATCTAAATATGTTTTATTCCAACTTATAATTTGAAATTTTGTTGGCATCTGATACAACAATGGTATTACTTATATTTTCTTCTGGGTAGGGTACCATTGATTTGTGTCATTGGAGAATTTAAATTATAGATGCAATCAAGTTTTATAGGATATAATGGACCTGCCTAATGAAAGCTTTTATGATGATATATTAGTTTGTGCACCATATAGTTCTGCAGCACTTGGTTGCATTAGTTGAGCCCAACTCAGATTGTGTGATCCTTATTGCAGGATCAGCCAGAACGTGCCATGCGTATGTTGGCTAAAATGAAACAAATGGAGGTGCTTCCAGATGTGAAGACCTATGAGCTTTTATATTCATTATTTGGTAACGTGAATGCTCCATACGAGGAGGGCAACAGATTGTCACAGGTGGATGCTGCAAAAAGGATACGCATGATAGAGATGGATATGGAGAAACATGGGATCCAACACAGTCATTTCTCTATGATGAATTTGGTAAGACTCTCTCTCGCTCTCTCTCCCTTCCTTTCTACCACAAAAAGGGGGGGGGGGGGGGGGGG